TATTTTAGAACCAAAATAAGGCCTTTCACTTCCCCGACGCCTATTCAAGAGATTGTACGGTGTATGTTTGTTTTGTGCATGTGTTGTGGACAAAAAATGACCACGCCCATTTAGTGATTGCAATATGTACGTAATAGAAACCGCACCCCGAACTTGAGCTTTTGATCCCAATTTTTAAATTGATACATTGTAATATAAACCGCGGTTTATAATAGGACTTTAACGGTAGACACGATAAAAATAATGATACCATACTGTAGGATTCAAATTTGATATACAAATGATATCCCGTCCACATAAGGTCTTTTAGTAAAGTCTGTTTATATAATACATACCTCAGTTGCGTTCTGTCCTAACATCTGGTCTAATTGTTGCATAACAAATTCACATAGAGCACAAGTTGGAGAGGCATTAACAACCTTTGTCTTCTTTAAGACTGGAAAACTCTGACAATAAAAATCAAAGAGATGGGTCAAGCAAGGTCAAGTAAATGTACCCTTCTTTATATCAAAATCATTTTAAAACTTTTATTGTTTATTTTCCATAATGGCTATATCGATATCAAACTTTTGAGCCCCAAAATCAACTTTTGTCATTCATTCATCACAAATTTTAAAAGCCAAATATTAAATTGTTTTTCATAATTTTTCCAGAATTTTGACTAATACTTGTAGCCAATAAGAAATCATGTTCATTTGCTGCAAAATAAACAAACTATTGAAACAAGCATAAAACAAGCACCCTGTCGGCTGAGATAGCTCCACTGTTAGCAATGCACATGGCAATTAAAGAAAAGAAGATATCATTAGAAAATGAACAAATCTGAGAGAGGTCCATATGCAGTACACCTATCTATATGTATAATATATTAAAGCAATTGGACTTGTGGTTTTAAATAAGAATTCGAAAATATCACTTTTTACCAAAAATATTCATCAACATTTGAGAATTAAAGATATCATTACAAAATAAACAAATCTGAGAGAGGTCCACATGTAGTACCTATATATGTAATATCAAAGCAATTGGACTTGCGGTTTTCAACAAGAAGTCGAAAATATCACTTTTTACCAAAAATGACAAAAATATTCACCAAAATTAGAGAATTGAAGATATCATCATAAAATGAACAAATCTGAGAGAGGTCTACCCAAGGTACATATACACCAAGTATCAAAGCATTCAGGCTTGTAGTTTTCAAGAAGAAGTCGAAAAAGTAAAACATTGACACTGACAACGACGGACAATCACTCATTTGATAAGCTCCGCTCGACAAAGTCGACAGCGAAGCTAATAAAAACTGGCAAATCATTTTGGCCGGCAAAAATGATTATGTTGAGCACTACCATGAAAAAAACATTACATCTCCTGATAGGTCAAATACTGATGTTTGGAAATTTGCACGTGTTGTCAAGCAGAAAGGTATGTAGTATGTTTTTGGCTTACAATTTCCCCAGATCCAAAGTCGGATCTGATCAGTCCTACAAATCTAGAGACTGTGGTCTGATGAATCATTAATTTAACGAATCACAACAAAACACCATTATTTCCCAATTCATATTAAAATCACTATTAGAAATAAGAGGTATTTACTTACCTTAGTCTGAGTGGTGCCGCACAAACCTAATAACTAGTGAGAAAGAGAAGTCAGTTTTTAGTGTCAAATGTATTGTAAATTTATAATTTTGTTCTAAATATAGTGTTTTTTTTACTTGACATACATTTATCTTAAAACTAGTGTTTTTCTTCATTTTTCTCAATGACTGTTTATAAAAATCAAACTCCAACAAACTTATGTTAATGAGTAACACTGATCTGTTTTTTTTCTCTTGTTTATTTTCAAGTTTACACATATAACAACCTACAAGTAATAGTCCATGGCCACACC